AGAGCGCGCGTAAATTTGAATGTTGATTTCGGCGTACAAGGCTAGCGGTTGCGGCACGCGGATGATTCGATTTTCATGGCGTTCCGCAACCGCTAGCCTTGTACCTGCTCCACGAGGGGTACCTTTAGTGCACCACTATGCTTCTCACGCGCTCCAAGTATTTCTGAAAATTACTGATTTAGTGTTTTTCGATGACGCTCAGCAAGTTTTTAATTTTGAACAAAATGTCTATGTTCATAAATTAAGAAGTTAATTAACCATTTTTGATTAATTAGCCGACTGATCATTACGATTGGCCCCCTATACTATGTCCCCCTGGCCGTATAACTCACCTGCACAAACCGCATAAGTACAACTTTCACGATTTGTTTTGAACAAATCTGCAAGTTAAAAACGACCACCCTATATATATATATATATATATATATATATATATATATATATATATATATATATATATATATATATATATATATGTATATTTACTGACATGCGCATATTCCACTTAACTGGTCAGTTAGATCACAGCCTTTCTGCAGTTAACGGATCATCACTTCATACAAATAATATGTTCGCCCTAACTTTGCCTGGCCTTCTCTGTTCACCTTGTTTTTATATTAAAATAAGAAATACCTTCATATTCTCGTGATACGTTTCAATGAAAATGTATGAACCCTGGCTGCATTTTTTTTATATTTATTCCTTGCGGAAATTAACCCTAACAATCAATGGATTTATGAATCAAACTGCGTACCTATCAAAAATGCATTTTATCGATAAGGCATATTGATATGAACGATTCAAAAGTAAAGGTTTTGGGAATACAACTTATTTTTTATCGTTTGACTTATGTTAGCAGAGCCCAAATATTAAAAGGAAAGGTTGATCGGGTTGACCCCGTCACTCACAGATGGCGCCACCACAGTAGCTAACATGAAAAGCTCAGCGCAACTTAGAAATGACAGGACTATACTGCTGAAAACGGGCGTTTTGTAGGAGTAAAGTGAATGTATTTCAGTTCGTAATAAAAATATATATAAATAAAATGTTTATTGTGAAATATGGGGTTGTCCAAATGCACACACCTTAACTGATCGATCTCATTGATGCGACGCTTTTCCCTGAAACACTAAATGGAGAGTTCGTAGAGCGATCAGTCAAAAAGCGTGGCCTAAGATGGCATGACCGAAAAGTTACTCCGTTTTATTTGTTTATTGTGCGATTTTGACAGCTCGGTCTGTCAGAATACTTTGTGTTGCATAATGCCATGGCAATGATAATATGCCTTTCAAACGTTTCAGATGGTAAAGAATTTGAGAGGAGCCAGGCATTTGTGTTCATATTACATTTTCACGAAGTGGCAGAGGCTGCTTAATATGTGAAGTTCGTGAGTAGGCTCTGCGCCGTAAGGCAAGCTAGAGCTTTAAATAGCAACTACTTGCTTTCCCTGCTATTATTATTATTATTTATTTATTCCTGAACGAAAACATACAGATACGTACGGGCCCGCAAAAGCACGAGGGTGCTTGTGGGCGGGTCCCGACAGCCAACAGAAGTCAAAATTATACAATATCTAGGGAAGATTAATATGGAAGTAGAAGTTTATTCTGATAAATGATGTTTCAAGCATGAATGATTTGCACTTAGATATTAAGACTTTAACTAAAACCTCATGATATTTATCATCTCGCAGTCATACTTCCAAAGAATATACTTTAAAAAAATATACCTCAAGAGTTTTTTTTCATATATACGCAGGGGACATTGTATTTAGAAGGGGATATTGTTTGAGTTTATCATACTACATTTTAATATGTGGGTTAGTGCTTGACTCAGTAGACCGGTTTTCGCTGACTGTGACCTTATTTGTGTTACAACGAGGTAACTTCATCTGTCAGTCAAATATTGTTTACTTAATAAGCCATCATTTTTGGTTTTCAAAATTAGCTTTCGCATATTATAACTACGTATTTGAGAATCTTGTGTTTATTTATATTTTTACATCTTTATTGTTCCGCTACAAAGAACTTTTCTCCAAAAAGACTCGCGGAAAGGCAGCTCATATACGTTGGTCATATTCATTAAATTATTATTATATTTAAGGAACAAGTACCTCAAGTGTGGCCGTCGACAGAAAACAATCCAAAAATAGTTACATTGCATGTCTAGGGTGAAATTGAGATAATAAAACCGGGTGCTTCAGGCGGCATAAATAAACTACGCATCGCAGAGAGCTGAAACTCTGAGAAAGTGATGCTAGTGGTGGTGATAAATTCCGAAGGTTTGAGCACATGACGCTGGCTAAATAAAAATATACAAAAAATATTTCTATGCACCGACGATTACCTAAGACTATATGTATCATATCTATATTTGAGATTTGAGCGCCTGTAGCATTCATTTCAATAAAAAAAACTTGCTATTTAGTTAAAAAAATATATTTATTTTTCAATTACATAATTGCTACACGGGCCCCCAATTTCTAATTTCAATTTGATGAATATTGGGCTTAGGTGGACATGGGCTAATAGAGAATTTTTGTTTTTGGTTTGCATCTTTTGGTCCACATAATGTCATGTGCTTAAACTTTTGAGTTTCATCACCACCACTAGCGTTACATTTTCACGGAGAGTCAGCTTTCCGAGATGCGTAGTTTAATTACAGGGACCGAGAAGCCCGTTGTGTTCTTTTTCCATTCCAACCTGTGGAATGTAAGCGCCGTCGCTTATCTTATTATCTGGCATTATAGAACATTTCGACAAGTTGTTCATTGATAGCAGCTAGAGACGCCAAAATCATCGCGCTATCAGAAATACCATGAGAAACTCCAGCTTCCAATAAAAAATAAAATAGAAATGTTGATTTACAACTTAAAAATCAATGAAGCATTGCGATAAACCGTGGCAACGCGCACATTCTAACTGCCTGCTTTAGGTTATAGGCATTCGTGTATTTGAGGTTTAATTTTCTTCAAACACGGGGGCGTGTTTCCCATAGATTCGTCTTTTTCAGTGTTGATTGTAGGTATTAGACAAATATTCGGCGTTTATCGGGGATTATTTTAAAGAAAAAACGACGCGCCGATACGAATTCGCAACCTTCAAGGAACATGCGCTTGACCCCAAATGCGTGGAACATATCCTTGTATGGACAAGTAGTAGGCAACGGTAGAATCGGTGTGGTTCACAGCCTCGCGTTCAGTGCAGTGTGTGCTGTGTTCCAGGTATACACAAGATAATACTGCAAAAATTGCGAAAAAATTGCGAGGTTTCTTGTTGTCTTTTTATTTAAAGGATAGCTTCTTTTTTTTAAATTTTGCTCGATTTTAATAAAACCGGTTCGGGGTTGTGTTTTAGGTCTTATTAGGGCCGAAAAAGGTTGAGCCCAAATTATAATTAACAGCCAATTCAAATGATCGTTTTGGCAGTTATGAGGCCCAGGCGGAAGTGGCGTTCTCATTGAATTCCTATAATATTGAAGTCGTCCGCTATAATGATGCTGACATTAACGTTTACGTTACTAGACACAGAGCGGTATGCGATGTTAATGCAGCCAGGATGCGAACATGGGTACTTGTATATACCGCGCTAACGATATGTGCATAACAAAAAAAAATGTTTCGACTAAAGAAATACATTTTCGAAACTTCAGCCATTGTGGCGCAACACACGCCACCAAGTGTACTTCCGTTCTCATGTGCATTATCGTGTTCTGAAGAAGGACAACTTCGCTATCAAAAAGGTTGTCGGATAGCAACGTCTCGGTGATATTAAAAACTCATTTGGGTTACTCAAAAATAACACCATAGTTCTTCATATTCCGCTACACATTTAGTCCGTTCGCCGCCAACCCTACGATCTCATTGATCATTTTTATCTCTTCTTGGTTGTGGTTGGGTCCATGGGATCGTCGAGTTTTCTACGGTCAATCTTAATGTGAAATGCAGTGTTGTTTACGTACAATACTTCTTTTTTTTTACGTTGCTTAATATCTTAATCTTATATTGATGCTGCACTTGGCTTTTCTCCTCATATCCTATTGTTGAGGAAAAAAAAACGCAGACGCAAGTCGGGTTTCCATCAGCTTTATCGTCCTACGCGCAAACGAAGCGTGGCCTACAACGGTTCAATTGCTAAAACGAAAGTGGCACTATTTTTTGCTCTTCGTGTCCCCTAAAGTATTGCACTTTAGTTTCTTAACTGGAATCGTCTTGAAATGTTTGTTTATAAAAAAAGAGGTTATAGTGATGTATTTTGTGACAGTTAATTTTGTATTTTTAGTTCAACTAGTCCACAAAATTGTTAGGATTGTTAAAGGAGTTAAGCTCTCCTTGTAGTCGGACGATCCAGCCTATTTCGAAGTTTCAGGCACCCTTGCCTTCATTGTGTGACTTGCTGTTTTCTGTTCTGTCTAGTGTAAATATTATCAAGTTAATTTTAGGGCTGCAATATTTCACGCTCTTCAACTTAACTTCGAGGGCGTGTGTGCTTTTCTCCGGTTTATATGTTTCACAATTGTTTCAATTGTGAAACATATAATAAAACATATAATTGTGTCATAATTATCCTTCTGATTCTGTTCAGGTTCGGTAGCTCCAGATATAGTTCCGGTTCGGTTGCAGTTCGGTTCCTGTTCAGCGATGCATTTGAATTATTGGTTCGCATACCAGTTCCACCAAACACGAACCGGCGATTCAAAGCGGTTTTTAACTTTACCTTTAACCGCGGACGCCCGTTTATTTCTTGTGCTTAACAAACAAAACAAAAAAAAAGTTAAAAGATCTTATTTGAAAAGAAGAAAAAAAGTGTATTCAACTTGGTGTTACCTGTATTGGAAATACAACAAATACTGTCTTCATAAGCCGTGCTGCAGAGAGATGACAGCAAAACAAATTTACGCTTCATTGCTTTGGATGTATTCAGTTTTATCACCCATACAATATTATGCGAAAAGTGCGGTCATGCAGCCGCTCGTAAAGAGTACGAAAGCACAGCACTCACATGAGAAGTCAATCCTCCAGGACGCAAAGTGACACCGCAACACTAGCACGGAACCACTCGCCTCGGACGCCTGGAATCTCCGAGTTGAATATGAGAAAGACTGCGAAGTGCAGTCGAAGGACTATTCAAGCGAAAAAGTACAAGATAATGAAGAAAGGCGATAAGTTGCATTTTAAAAACACACAAAGCGCAAACGTTTTATCAAGCAGCTTCCACAGCTCTGGACGATAAACTTTCCGCCGACCGGTTCCTCAGTCTCGCGCTACACGTGGCAACGCCCTTTGCTGCCTCTGCCACCGCGCGGAACAAGCGCACGCTGAGAGCCGTCTCTTTGTATATTTATTTTTATGTTCACTTTTATCTTTACGCATTAACTCTAAAACTTGTTCACCGGCAAAAACATCACATACACGGACACTTACAAAAATAACCCTTCAGCATCTTTGCTTAGTCAGAAAGAGGTGTACGCTTCTGCGGCGAGTTGCCAACGTCAAGTTGTACTGCGCATGAACGTTGAATGTATTTTAAAGCACGAAATACGTTTTAACGCCAATACCTAAATCCCAAAGTTTTGTTCGCCCGTCCGCCCGCCCGTCTTTCCGTCCGTCCGTCCGCCCATGGCCGTCCATGTCCAACCGTCCATCCGTCCGTGCATTCCCCGCTAAACTTAGCGGGGAATTATTATCACAAGACCTTTGCACAAATTTAGTTTCTCACCTAAATTCAGAGGGAAAACTTATATCGCGTTAACTGACGTCACGGGACATGCAGACCAATTCAGTTTCCCGGCTAAATATAGCGGAAATATTGACGTCCCGTGACCTATATGTCAACTCAGTTTCCCCGCTAAATTTAGCTGGAAAGTTTACGCCTTGTGGCCAAAAAACCAGTTTAGTTCCCACGCCACATTTAGCGGGAAATTGACGTCACGTGACCTATACGCCGATTCAGTGACCTTCTATATTTTGCGGGAAATTTCACGTCATGTGACCTAGACACCAAACCAGTTTCCCCGCTAAATTTAGCCGGAAAATATACATCACGTGACACACCAATTTTCTTGCCACTTCCTTCCCCAAGTCCCTATAATACATTTTATTCTTTATTGGACTTCGAAGGCACAGGTCGCTGCCAATTTATATGTTTAAATATTGTAGAACTACCTCCCGGTCGCTGTTGTTCGTTTAATCAATGCTGGGCCGCTGGCACCACCTTCGCGAACATGTATTCAATTTAGCGTTTCAAACCGCAACAAAAAAGAAAAGGTGCGGCGCATATTTTATTGAGTCTAGTCGTTATGGTTTCGATACGATTCAGGTTGAATATCAAATATTTGATTTCGGTTACCGACGGGTTCCTTCCGTTCCGTTCGAAGATTGCGCGTTTAATTTTGGTGTCTGAGTCCGGTTGAGCTAGACACCCTGAATACTTGTTTCTGTCGGGAAGATATGGGGGGGGGGGGGGGGGGGGGGGGGGAGAGGTTAAAAGAATCCACATTTTCTTCACTTTTGGGTTCTATGTTTTCCCATTCATTGATGATACCTCTCTGACTTGCATTAATTGTGTCTAGTTAGTTTGCGATCTTCTTTTCTTTTTTTCAATGTGTCCAATATTTTGTTTATGTCGAAAGGAGCTGCGTTAGTCTCAAAGCACACAAGCAACTAAAGGTTAATAGAGCAAAGACAGTTGACAAGCTTCCTACCACGCCTGGCGACATTTCGTGACATGTCCGCTTGGTGGCTCTCTCAACACGCTATCAGCCCACCCTATAGACAGATGCAGCGGAACCGGTGGAACGTTGGACGCACAATCTCTTCGGGGGAAAATGACTCTATTGTGGTTTTTATGACAAACAAAGTTTGAGCAAATATTTGCGAATAAAGATCGTCGGTTTAAAAACGGTTCTCCTCCGTTGTTCGTGGAGGCGTTGCAGCAGGCGGCGCTAGGATTAACCCTATGCACCCGTACCTGCTCGTGTGCAGGGCGCAGACACCCATTTTCGTACGACGCTCTTCCGTGGAGCTACAACTGATAGACCTAAGAACGTTGCACGCCACAAACTCAGGCTTTTCAGCAACAATGGCTTATCGCAAAACACACAGTACTACTACAATATGAGTAAAAATAACGTTTGTCCTTCTGTACGAGGACAACAAATATATTGTAGATATATGTTGAAACGCATATCTCCGGCTGAACTGCCTCAGAACGCCTTTTTATGCTCACGAAACTGTGATGGAAAGTGTGAACGCGATTCTGAGGGCCATAATTTTCAACATACATAGTCCCTTCATACTTAACAATGAACTTAGAGAGAAATAAAAACTGCAAAAACCTTTTTCCGAGCTGTAATAATGCATTCGTTATAATTATCTCTTTCAATTGCTAAGTTCAACAATATAACGTTTTCTAAATGTCCTGATCATTAAAGTATTTCGTTTGAAGACGTTTGTTTGCATGTAAATGGTAGGTAGGAACAAGAATTTCAGCACTCACCTGTTCTTCACGCTCACTTTCCGCAAACTGGCGGTACAACCAACGTTACTCGATCAACTCAGTTGGCAAACTCCCACGGAGAGCGTGATCCCTTCTAAGACACGCACTGACACACATCAGTTTCCACCGATAACCCCTGGATTCGGAAATGCTGTTTGAAGCGTCATCTGCCTTGCCCATTGCGGCCTAGTTTTTTGACTGCTGTTTCAAGACGCGCCGCAGCGAGCAAGAAGGTTGGCGCTTCGAACAGCGTTAGCCCGGCTGAGGGGTACGAGGGGGGATCACGCTCTCCGCAAGAGTTTGCCAACTGAGTTAATCGAGTAACGTTGTGTTAAACATCCGAGAAGTCATGCTGTCGTTTGATGGCTAGACATTGTTATCTACAGAAGATACGGGGGAGTGGTTACTGCCAAGCGTGCCAAGTCATGCACCGACAGGGGCAAACACACAGATTTGAGAGCAGTCTTCATTCCAAGCAACCCTGTCATGCTTCATCGTAAGTTCTAGGCAAAACAAGCATATTGAAACTGAGGCAGGTGATTGACTAGATAATTAAGGGGGGGGGGCAGTGACTGGAAATTCAGCATAATGACATCATTATATAAGGGAAAGAGAGACAAAGACAGTATCAAGTCATGCTGACCTGTCACAGCGACTTCAGTAATATACAGACTATACTTCGTGGGGGGATCGGTAGCCGAGTGGGCTAAAGCGCACACCCAGCTCGACGCGCGTGGAGCGAAAGCTCGCGCTGCAGAACCAAGGGATCCTGGGCTCGAGCCCCACCCCTGCCCATTTCGATCTGGATGAGCATCGTACCGGCGTGCGGTCGTGTACCACTACTGCGTGGTGCACGTTAAAGACCCCAGGCTAGCCGTTGTACTGCACTGGCTAAATTGCTCATCTACAGCGTGTGACTCGTCGCAACTTTAAATGGCTGACCAACTACACGCTGTATAAATATCCCCATAACCCAATTTGCAATTCGACTATACTTCGTTTCAGCTTCCGTCCGAGCGCAGCCAAAGCTACGTGTGGCCGGAGCCAAACACACACCGGCAATTGGTCACGCGATCTCGCCTGCACTTTTGTATCCCTCCGCTGCGCCGCGGGTCGTCCGCGCCGCCCGCGCTCGCCGAGTATTTCGTCTGCTATGGGAGTATCAACGGTATCGTCTGCTACAGGTCTAAAAAGTGCCCTTTCACGTTCTAAAGTTTAGTCACAGGGGATGTCAGTACGTAAGCTGGCCACTGGCGTCTGTGTCCGAGCGTTCCACCTGTTCGGCATAGTTTCGAGATGTAAGTACACATTGCAGGTGCCCGATGACCCGGCCGTTGATGTTTCCTTGTATTGTCTGCATATACCAGGGCTCGAGGCGCACTCCTTTCCACCAGCTTTTCGGTGTTCAATGTGATCGGCAGGTAAAGGGGTGCCCTGATTTCGCCGCGCATCAGTGAATTGTAGTGACCCGGTCGCTTTTCTTGTTTCCAACGTATCCGCGGTACAATGCGGCCAGACTCTCCTGCCGAATTTAAAAGCAGACATTCATCACGACCTCTCGTGCCTGACCCCCAAGCGTGCCTTTTCGGAAGGACGTTTTGAAGCGACTCGATGAGGAAAGCAGCGAAGCACATGATTCGGCCATTATGAGAACGAAATCACACAGAAAAACCGAGCGCTGCAGCCGTGTTGCCAGCGGATGTACGTGTTTTCACCAAACCAAACGCATTTACATATATTAATAAAAAACATAAACTTCAGATATTTAATTCCTTTAGTTGCAAATCATTCCCAGCACTACACACCTGGAATATTGTGCAATTTTTACGCAGAAAACAGATACTAAAAAAAAAAAAAAAAACTTTTGCGAACTACTTCGTGGTGCGTAGGAATGCTCTTCTCGTAGTTGCAAACCGTCCCTCAGCATTTCGCTGCGCTCGGACGGAACCTGAAACGTAGTAGAGCTATGCAAATTGTAAAAAGAGGAATGGGGAGAGAGAAAGCAGATTCTGGGAGAGCTTCAAAACGGTTTGAGGAGAGATAGACGACTGAATGAATAAATCATTTGTAATCACTCCGTACATAGAGATAGCAATGACACAGTCAAAGACCGCCATTATGGGTCGCATTTTTGTACATCAAAGGGGTTTATGACGATGTGAATCAGGAAAAGCTCTAAGATTAACTGAAGATATATTGGCTAAGAGGAACCATGGTTAGGTTTTTATAAGGGTGTAACGGAGAAAAGGGTGGTTCTAACCAGGGTGTCGAACCGGAACCGAACCGAACCGAAAACCTGAACAGAACCATTATTTTTAGCCGAACCGGAACTGAACCGAACCGAAGTCGTCGCCGCCATCTTGGAACTGAACCGGAACCGAACCGAAAAAATATGTAACGGTAACCGGTTCAAAACGGTTCAAGGTAATATTTCTTTTTTTTTTCTTTTTTGTTAGTATCACAAAATGAACATATGGGAATAAAAAATTGGCGGCTGTATTTTATCTATGGATCAAATCGTCATATATAGAATTGAGAAGTATGGTAAATTTTGGGTTCTCATGGCACTATGATTAACCATGTGTCATGTTGTCACGTGACGTCATGGTATCAATACATGTCACCGTCACGTGACCTCGTGACGTCACGTGACTCACTGCGTCAACTCGATTTAATTTGAGGAAGTCACTAGATGTATTAACAGTGTTGACAGCATGACGTAACATGACATCACGATTTCGCACCGAGAATCACGTGACACCGTGACGTAAGCGATTTTCATAT